AGAAGCACAGGAGATCCAGTCGCTCCACTGGAGAATGAAACTCAAAAAATGCTGCCTGGAATGGAATAATTTGAAACTCTGGGAAAAGAATAACCCACCACTTCCAGTTTCACTCCCTCAGGATTTCTATTATGGAACAATAAAGGGGTTGGGTTTTTTTTTTTTTTCCCCCCAATGAAAGACTATAAATATAGCACCAATGCCAGATACTGAACTGGCAATGGAAACTGCAGTCCTGCACTTAGGAGTAAGAGAGGCATAAGAACTGACAATAAATACTCCCCTAGATTTTTTACCCTCACAGTGTGTTCCAACATCAACACGAAGAGAAGGATTACAGGACATAGAGATCACTTCTCTGGGATTCACTGCGCTCCCAGACTTTCTACTCAGAGGTCAATGGTTAGTAGCTGGTTGGTACCAAGTGCACTGGAAGAGGTGACAGAGATGTGATGCAGTTATGCATCCACTGACACTATCTCACAAAGACAATAGCCAAAACCCTTTGGTCACTTCTGATCTGAGACTGATTGTTAATAGAAAGTGAGAAGAAACTCCATCTTTCATTAAGACTGCATACCACAAAGTACATCCAAATTCAAATCTAATTCATGCTAGCAGATCTGTGATCTAAGCCTCGAAGTTTGTAGGTATTTTTTTTTTTTGTTTCCAACCGAATCATTAAAATATCTCTTCACTATTTTACATTTGCATTCCAGTCAGTATGGTGAATCTGAAAGAGCAAAGTGATTATCTGCTATGTTTGTCCATTTCTGACGCAGATTTCTGACCACCCACATTTGAAGTAATTATTGCCTGAACTCACACTTAATGCACCTTCCAAAGGCAAACTATTCTATGAATATCTGAAGAAGTTCCTAAAGGCAAGGATGCAAAAACACCATTTCAAACACACTTTTTTAATTTTTAATTTTTTTTTTCCCCAAGACCTCATTAACTAATGAAGAAATAGCTAAAAGAAATAGGATTAACTTCACAGGAGGGGCAGTAATAGTATATTTTGTTCCTTCTAGCTAGGCTTACATATACATATGCTTTTTGTCATTATCTGTCTCTTATCATGCAGCTTTAGCTTACTGCAAAAACACAGATCTGTAAATGCTTACAAAAATGCTGATGGATAACTAGTAATAACGTGAAAAAATAATCTTATGTTGAAAGTGCTATGGAAAAGCATCGTTGCTCGGTTGCTTTTTTTAAAAGATTCCTTATGCTAATATTTGAAGTTGGCATTATCACTTGGGGGATTTTTAAGATACGCCACACCTAAAATCAGTTTTTCCTCTTCCTTGTATTTTTTCAACCCTCAATGTTATTTGAAGCAAAATATCAACTTGGTTTGTTTTTGAACAACTGTCTATTCAATCAGTACCTCACTTCTTTCTGATTCCTCAGCTGTAATACACTTCAGAAGTAGTATTACCTAAGAGATGGCTCCAAACATACCAGAACCACCATATTTTAGCACTGTTGAATTTCAAGAAAGTTTGCTTCCAGATTCAAATTATTTAGCTTGTTTCTAGTTTTATCATGGATTAAAACATGTCCTAAATCTCTATGTGCATTCAAATTTTAGGGGTCAGCTCTCAATCGCATTTTGATTCTAGGTACACTGGGAAATATACTGCCCATCAGTTCCAGTGTGTGTGCATCTCTAAAGAGACAAGACTTTCACACCTCAAATCCCTTTCTATGACAACATTAGTGAAACCCACTGAGTGGGAAATCTAATTGGTAGTAAAAAAAACAATTCTAGCTGTCATGACCTTGTCCACATTGCAAATATTGCTACTTTCAACACTAGTTCATTTGAACTGGGATTAGGGGTGGTAGGAATTATAGGGTCAATTATCTGCAGTCGCTAAAATTAATCTCTTTATAATTCAATCCCATAGCACTTGTCTATCACCTCCTAAAGCAGTATTATGACTTTAATGAAACTAAGTCTTAACCATAAAATGTTTCATGAAGGACAGCACTCAGGTTCAGAAATAAATATTTGACAAATATTAGCTAGGAAAATTCTGAAAATCAAAAGGAAATGCAGTTCTTCTGTGCAATTTTCTTTATAAATGCTTTCTTCCGAGAAGTGTGCAACAGTCCAAATCCATCTTTAAATTATAACTGACTTATTTCTAATAAAGCTATATGAATAGATTGTCACACTGAGATGTCATAGTAAGAGAAGATAGGCATACTGTATTCTGCCCATCATAAAAAGGTTGTGTTTATGCTACACTCTTGAGATATAAAGCTTCTGATGAACCTTGTATGTCAGGAGCTGTACAAATTTCCACAGCATTTCTCAGTGCACCTCCTAAATGAACAGGGTGCACTGAAACTGGTGGCAAGATTCCTTTTGTACTTTGATAGAGCTAGGCTGGGTTAACAGTTCAGAGACTTTTTGGCTTACATACTACTGGCAGATGTTGCAAACTGTTTGATGATTTCATGATATAGAAGCAGAGGGAAATGTTGTGATCATGACAACCTTTGTGACTTGATTTGAAACAGGATTTGACATAGACCATTCCAGTCTGACCTATAGTTGTATAAAATTTGTATTTGAGTAGGTCGGTGGAAGAACCAAAAAGCATTTCATAACAATAAAACCGTTAACACTGTGAAATGAGTACAAGACATACACTGCTGTAAAGATGTCAAGCTGAAGCAAAACAAATACTATAGAAATCTTCTGTACTGTTTAGCTGCTTTGTTAAAAATTCTAAATCAACCGTTCCTGACATTCCAATATTGGAGAAAAATCATTATTTTCCTTTTATTTTTAACTGATTCAAAAAAGGATTTGCAAAATATTGTAAGTACATGTAAACACAGTTTATGGTGAGTGTGGGAGTGTTAACAAGCCACATTACTTGGACAAAATAGAATTCTTTTCTCAGCCATATGCTCTCTTTAGTCATCTGTTAGTGATAAGCACTTAGATGGGCTCTACTAATGTCTACTCATTATAAAAAAGCACATCACAAAGACCTTGATAAAACCTTCCCTCTGCCATTACTTAAGGAAAGGAAAGCCCAGCAACTGGAAAACACATCTGGAATCTGTTCAGCATCCTTTAAAGCTAAATCTCACCTCTGGAGATGGAAGTATTTTCTTTATCAAAAGACATCTTTAAATATTACGTCTATTGTTTTTCACATATATGTGATGTAAGACTAAGGAGTAATAAAAACCTGCAGGCATGAAAAATCTGTGAATTTCACCTTTCAGCTGCCTCTGTGTTTTTTTCAAAACTTAGAATTCCACTAGAAAGAAATTTCTAGACTATTTTTTTTCCTCTGTAAATCACTATGCCAACTTGTTACGGGACTAAATTGCACATTGCAGCAGTGGCAGAAGTGCCCCTCCAACTTATTTCTCTTAATGATGTAATAAATCTGAAGCCTTTAAGTTACTGCTTACACATAAATTTTGTCATGTATGAAAGCATCCCAATGTAATTTGTGTGCCTAGATATGTATTTAGACATCTTATGAACAACTCACACATACATTTATCCCCTATTGCAGAAACAATTGTTTCCACATGGATTTATACATTTGTTTTGGTCTCTCGAAGGTGTTATTTTCAATTTTCCAAAATCAACACCTCTATCTTTAAAAGGTACTTAATTTGCTCTGCTAAAATTATCTGAAAAAATATTTTACAATTTGTTGCCATCTTCTCACATTTTTCTTATAAACAGTTGTATATGTATTCATACAAAGATACAAGGACATGCATCTCAAAGCCAGTCCATGAACCTAGAGAGATGCATCTGTTTTAACACTGCACAAGGTAAATGGGTTCCAATGTGGTTTCAAGGTGGCTTCTAAGCTAAGAACAGACATTTGGAAATAGGCTTTCTTCCAGATTTTTGAAGGAAAACAGAGACCACTGCAGTATCTGGAGTTCACATAAGGATATCCTTAGGAGTCTCCTTTTCTGACCTCAAAATATATCCATGCCTATAACCCTAAACTTCAGTAAAGGTTTCTTTATATACCCCAGTTCTTTCATTTTCTCCTTGTATGCCACAGTAGTCACCAGAATGTTTCTATCTGCGGATATTATCTCCTGGTCAGAAGTCATTTACCTCTGGGTTTCCACTGCCTCACCCTGAGTGAGGCCAGAAGTCTGCTCTCCCAGTCTTTGAGAAAGCTTTAGGAAAATAGGTAACCTGCCTACCCTACAATGCAGCAGCAGCAGGGATCAAAGAGGTCCAGTAAGCCCTTGCGTTTCCAGTTCCAATAACACGTTAGCGTCCC